GCTGCAAACGATGGATACAATACAGACTGATGGAGTTTGACAAGAAAATACTGACGACAATACTTGGATTAGTAACAGCAGGGCGAAGAAAACTCCATACAGGAAGATTCATAATTTGAGGGATTTTTAGCGAAATTCAGGGAATACAATTTATCCATAGACCGGCCGGCTACAATTTTTTTTCGCCCAAACGTCCTCTCTGCTGGCCGCCGAACCGCCTTCTGATCACTCGATCCTGGCTAGTTTACCTCAACAGTGCTGATGTTTAGCATTGTTAGTTGTCTTTGAAATCTGTAGAGCTACAGTTCGCACTGTTGTGAAACTAATTAATTACCAATGTAACTCCTTGGAGCTGTGTCCTTTTTGAAAAGCCATTAGTTGCCCAGCTGCTGAAGAATTTCCTAACATTTTATGGAAGCCGAAATTTCATTAAAGTATTCACAAGAAACCACCACTGGTCCCTATCCTAGCCAGATAAATCCAGCATATACCACCGTATTCTTTCTCCCTAAGAACCTTTCTGACATTATTTATTACCTACGTCTCTGTCTTGCTAGTGGTCTATTTCCTTTTGGCCCTCCCGCCATAATCCTCTACGTATTCCTCTTCTTTCCCGTGCTTGCTTTTTCTCTGCCCATCTCATCCTAGTTGACTTGGTCACTCTATATTAGAAAACGCTAAAATTGAAATGTAGTGTTGAACAGAAATTATTTGCACAACATTCTTCGTAAGGGAAATGCCATAGAAAACTTCTTAGGTAGTATCCTGACGCTGTGTGCTATGTAAAGAAACGATTCAGAATAACATGAGAAAGTAGCCTTCTGTGGAGTCAATGCTGGACAAGAATAAATATTGAAAAAGACGTGTACGGACCGCACATCTTGTTGACATCATTACTCGATTAGAAGAAAGGCCGGAGAAGAAATTGCCTATTTTTCCTCTTGAATGTAGTTTCCAAAAAGTACCGCTCACTTTGGCAAAAATTCTTAAAGTTACAGCCTTAAAAGAACTACAGTCATACACAGTCGTTTGTTTCTAGTTTTGAAAGCTAGAAGCCGGTACTCCTCGTGGCTTCAAGAATCGACATTCAATGGGCTTTTCGAAACGGAACTTAACGTTTTTCCTGACGAGGCATAGTTTGCTTCACGTGCTTATATAATAGCCAATTAAACATAGAAAATCCTCGCGCCGTTCATGTAGTGTCATTGCATGTTTCGAAGTTGGGGTCTGGTGTGCAATTAGTGACCGGAGGATAATTGGTCACTTGTATGTGAAGAGGCCGCACTCCGTGGAAGAACGCCAAGAAAATATTAGGACAGATATTTATGACATTCCTGTGCTGCATCTTCAACGTTTGTCTAGAAATTTGACTTCGACAGGCATGCTTAGAAACAGAGGGTTGTCACTTTCAGACTCTTCTATAAACAGAATTAAAATACGGGGGAAAAGCGGGCCGTGAAGTATCGGCTACCGCGGCGGGCCTGCAAGACTAGAGTGCCGTGTCAGCGGCGGGAACAAATCTAACGATAAACTGTATACCCATTGGTATTAAAGTTATTAAATCAAAGATACTGCGGGAGGCGGAACATGTGAGAAATAGCTAACATGGAACAGATGAGAAATGAATATAAAATGTAGTCCTTAAACTTGAAGGAAGAGCCTGGTTTGTACATCTGTCCAGAAGTGAAAGAATAATATTAAAATGGATATCATGCAAATGTGTTGTGAATGTGCAAACTAAATTAAGTTCTCTCACAATATGGTCCAATGGCGGATTCATATGAAGACGACAGTGGGCTTTCAGTTTCCATAAATACCAGAAAATTGAGTAGATAAAAAAGTGTCAACTTTGCAAGAAAAGTATTACATCATGGAATTAGTTACATGGGGCGCATAAAGGCGAACAAGATGTTCTATTTCTCGCAACATGAGTACTCCATTAAACAAAGTTAAGCTTTGTCAGGCAAGAAATTATGTATGGAGCGTTGAAGTTTATTGGAAAGAGGCATGGCTTGCGTAGAAGGAAGTTTTCGAATTAATGAACGCACTTCTTGCAAGGTTGCTTTTTAAATTAGAGCGTGCCACGTGTCCTTACTGTGAACTCGATTATGAACACTTCATTTCGTCTATTTTCATAAAGCTCAAACAAAAATTGACTTAATTTTAAAAGAAGTTTCAGATGACACGCCGTCTCTCGGATTACGCAGTAATAAATGCAAACAGATTACGAGAAGAGAAACTTACAGCTGAACTGGATATTAGAGGCGGTTGCATCGTTTGATGTAATGTCGATTTCTTGCAGAATCTATAAATTAATTTTGTCTCAACATCAGACACTTTCTGAGTGATTAACTCCAGTTAGAGAAGACGGATGGGACACTGAACACGCCTGGAGGAGATGAGAAACATATGCAAAATTTTGTATGAGAATCTCAGTGGAACAGGTCACTTGTGAGAGATAATTTTAATTGAAGAACAATATTAAAATACATCTGAGCGAAATATGGCAATAAGGTGTGAAATGGTCTCAACCAGCTGAGGATAGGTTTCAGTAGGCATGACAATAATTCCACAAAAGCTGGAAAATCCCTGACCGGCTGAGTGACTATGAATTTTCAAGGAACACTCTCAAACTTGGCATTAGTCAAACTGCATCCACGGCTCGCCAAGATACTTTATTTTAATTGTATGTTATCAATAGAGTATAGTAAACCCTCGCTAATCCGGATCGAAACGTGAAAAGAAAAAATGAAAACTTCTGTTCACAGATGAGTACATATATAAAAGACACATGGCATTTAGGAAGGCTGATGGGTCACTTGTCTGTTCAGACAAAACTTCACAGCTTCTTCAAAAGTTCAAAAAGAAATACAATTTCTGTGTCTTCTATCGATTGTTTTTGCAGTTTTTAAATGAAGGTCCTACAATGATATTTCTTTATTTATTTTCATCAGTACTATTTAGAACCTTAAATTTTTCATTTATTTTAAATGGAGGTCCTACAATGATATTTCTTTATTTATTTTCATCAGTACTATTTAGAACCTTAAATTTTCCATTTATTTTATTTTAAGTTTCCTTGTTCTCTTTTATGGCTACCTTTTGCTTCACTAATACGGATAATCGCCCAATCAGGATGATCTCTCCTCCCTCCAGTTACTCAGGATTAAAGGGGTGTTTACTGTATTTGAGTTTGAAATACCTTATTAGATTCGATTGTTTATGTGTATACGTATATGTTTCCATATGTTTACTGTTGCATGCATATTTTGTTTAAACGAAATATGTGAGAACCATAGTAAGAAGAATGTCTGCATTGTTGTCTTGAAGAACTACCGGAAGAGGCTGTTGTTTCTGTGTTGCATGAAAGGTTGTGCCTCAGTCACTGGAGAACCTCGAACCAATTATATTATTGTTGGAGAAAACTGCATAATGAGGAGCTTCATAAATTGTACTCTTCTCCAAGTATAATTAGAATGATCAAGTCAAGGAGGATGAGGTGGGCAGGTCATGTAGCACGAATGGGGAAGACGATAAATGCGTATAGGATATTGGTGGGAAAGCCAGAAGGAAAGAGACCACAGGGAAGACCAAGGCTTAGGTGGGTGGACAATATTAGAATGGATCTTAGAGAGATAGGATGGGATTGTATGAATTGGATAAATCTGGCTCAGGATAGGGACCAGTGAAGGGCTCTTGTGAACACGGTGATGAAACTTCGGGTTCCATAAAATGCTGGAAAATTCTTGAGTAGCTGCAGAATTGGCGGCTCCTCCAGAAGGGCTCAGCTCCATGAGTAAGTAAGTAAGTAAGTAAGTAAGTAAGTAGTTCCTAAACTGCCGCCTAGGAAATAGCCATCAATTAGTTTTCTCAACGCTGTGTTCCACTACAATGAAGTCTGAGGGAACTAAAAATTTTCTAGTACTCCAACTAGCTCTCTGAGTTTTGAAACTGGATACATGGCGTTCAGTTATAACCAGCAAATAAGTATGAGAAAAAGCAGAGCTTCCTATTTTTACCTACGTTCCGTACCTTTCCATCTGTTCCACAATAACAAAATATAAACTGGCGGTTCTGTTTCCTTGAACTCGAAATGCGTCATGCAAAAGAAGACACACCCACTACTAAAATGGTTAAAGCCTTTACGTGAAGGCAATATGAACTACTGTAGTTGGAGCGACACGCCATCCACTGTAATGAAGTTTACCAGTAATATTGTATCTAGGCTTCCTGTTGCATTAACATATTCACCCGTCCAAAATGCAACCTATTTATTTGCTCCTTCTTCTTTTCACTTTTACAAAATGTTACGGCCGTATATGGCCACCGTCGGATGTCCTTTTGGCCGAAACCGTTTCATTCTGTGGTATATCCCACTTATTCTTTCATAAATGAATGCGATATATCTTAATTCACAATAATGGACTCTACTAAAATAAATAAAAGACCAATAAAGTCTTGTAAAAATTTAGTTAAAATTGCCCAGTATTTTGCTGGGAGCTGTTTTCTCCTGATCCAGACACCATTGTGTAGCACTTATGGGCATGTAGCGGCATGGGTGTTTGTGTGTATGTGGCTCTCGAGATATTGATGTTGTTATCATCTGTAATACGTAAAGGATGTACGTACATGCATATACGGCTGTCACCTTGCCTTTAGTTCCGCCTCTGAGAGGGTATTTGCCCAATTAGAAGACTTAGTAGGAGAAGTAGGAGAATACGGGAAGGAAAGAAGAAGGGAAGAGACGAAGGAGGACAACAAAAAGAGAAGATGGAAAAAGAGAAGAGACAGAGAAGGAGGATGATAATAATAATAATAATGAGGAGGAGGAGGAGGAGGAGAAGAAGAAGAAGAAGAAGAAGAAGAAGAAGAAGAAGAAGAAGAAGAAGAAGAAGAAGAAAGCATGTAGCTTCTTTTATCACATTGCAGTCAGTGAATGAGTCAGTCAGTGAGTCAGTGAGTCAGTCGGTGCATCAACAGGGTTGGAAAGTGGATCTGTGGTGACTGTTGCCGCCGACCCAGTGACCCCCGGATCTGTCAGTGTCAGTTGGAACGGCGGTGCGTCGGCAGAAATTAGGAAAATATGTTAAGGGGGCTGAATTGGAACTAAGCGATCCAGGAGGGGTGGAAATGGAGGCTTGTTGTGACTGTAAGCCTATAGTTCATACTAGTATTCATTACGTACGTATAGTTTATATCTAGCGGAGTTAGTTTATTTTTAGTTACCTTATTTGTTTTTTAGTCTAATTTTGTTGTGTCTAGCAGCTAGGTTAACCAAATTAAACTAACACAGCAACTAAGATAACGAAAGAAACTAAACTAACTAAACTTACGTAAACCGCGCCATAGCTCAAGCGGTTAGTCTCTGGCTTCCCGTCACGGGGGACCGGGTTCGATCCCGGGTCTGGTCAAGTGGGATTTGTGGTGGACAAAGTGGCGCTGGGGCAGGTTTTCTCAGAGTACTTCGGTTTCCCCTGCCCATCTTCATTCCACCAATTGCTCCACAATCACCCTCACCTATCATCTTGGGCTGGTACAATAGGCCAGAAGTGACCGCAATAAAAGGGACTTAGTCCCACCCCACTAGCAATAAAAAAACTAAACTTACGTATAGCGAACAGCTGATTAACCAAATTAATTGTAGACATCTGTAGAACTAATTTCTACATTATTTTAATTTAAATGCATAACTAACTCCTTGGAGCCTAGTCCTTCGTGAGAAGCCGCCAGTCGCTCAGCTACTCGAGAATTTCCTAACTTTGATAGAACCCCAAAATTTCATTACCGTGTTCACAAGCGCACGCCACTGGTCCCTATCCTGAAGCAGATCAATTCAGTCCATAACACGGCATCATTTTATTCTAAGATCCATTTTAATACGTGTATTAACCTCCCGCTTACGTCAAAGCAATCGCAGTGGTTTTCTTTCTTCTAGACTTGCCACCAAACCCCAGCATGCATTCATCTTCTCCCCCATGTGTGTTACAAGCCCTGCCCATCTCTTCCTTGTCGATACTGTACCGCAGTGTCCTACTGCACATCACTTATCTATTCCTGTTTGTTATTAGCCGTCTCGCATGCAACTTGATTTTAAACCTTTAATATTTTTAAACGTTAAAATCTCTTCTACATCACTTGTATACAGACACTACATATTTCGGCCAACATTGGTCATCTTCAGATGTCTCCAAAACTGCTGAAGAAACTGCTGTGCTTAAACCCTTAAATTCAAATTTTAAGATATGACCACAACAGCTACACCCCACACGATAAGTGGAACTACCAATCACAATAAGACACATGGACACATAGATGAGGGCATACCCCTAAGAAGGAGGACCAGCCCTTTTCGTCTGTCCGGGGCTGCTTATGTAATATATTCGCAGCTACCCTCCATATCTGGAGGTCGTCTCCACCCGCAACCTGAGGACGCGCCATGCCGGGGTGACAGGGACCCACCTAACATGGTACTCATAACAGTGTTGTTATATTCATTCATTCATTCATCGGTAATCTGTCATACGACAGGTACGACAGGTCCACAGTCTCTTCCAAAACATTTCCTCCACTTAATGCGATTGTTGTTATATAAACTACATTAAATCCATAATTCTTTCCATATTTTTAAACGTCTATTTTCATATTATTTTCTCGTATACCCCTGCATCTTCTGTTCTCGTTTTCAGACTAAAATATTATATGCATCTAAGCATTCACTAGCCTANTTTACCGGTTCTCACGGTCTCTTCGCTTTGCAGATTTCTTATATTTTTTCTTCTACCCTGAAGATGGAGGCGATACGTTCCTCCGAAACGTCGGTTAACACCACATATACACGGTGCCAAATCCCAGAAGACTGCTTTCTTAATACTAGACAAGTTTTACATATCCGAAATCTCTTCCATCACTCCCGACGGCCTAAATCGTTGTCTGAAAGCTTTCTGTGTTTTAGTGAGACACAGATTAAGTAATGTTGGTGTTATGATCATATATGACATAAACACAGATTACAACCACCTTATTATGTCATAGGGTGGCGAACGGTATAATATTCGGAAAGTGAATGTGACAGATGCAATGCCAGTGTTGCTCCTGAGTTAAACATAATTACAGACTGGGGCTGTGTCTTCCCCTGCTTAATCCGCTTTCAGAATAACTTGAAGAGGAAACTCTGAAACCGCAGTTACCTGCCGCTGTGCGTTAACTGACTTTGCTGTGGACCAGGAAAACTCAGAATATGGCTCACAGTATAAGAACTGCTACTCTCAATGTAAGGCAAAGGCAAAGGTCCCTATGGTTAATTAATTAAGCACCACTCCATGAAGGCTTATGTGGAATTGGAGGTATAGCTCCACTATTAGTTGATGATGAGTTTTTATCTTCACCCCTCAACCACTTTACTCCAGCTGAAAGACCTCCCGGTGCCCTTTGGGCAGAAGGCTGGGTGGGTCTCAGAGAAGGTTGGCACTCTGTGGAGTAGAGAATTTCTTGCCCCTGAGGGAATATTTCTTTCAACAACGGTTGGTAACTATACTCAATCACCTGGTTCTCGCGGTTTACGTGAAATATAAATGTTTGCCTAACATTGGAATTAGAATGGATAACTAAAATTTACACCCATATTTTAAATGATGTAAATTATTGTTCAAACATATAATATTATCGAAAAACAGAGGGATTATGAAGCTTAGTTACAAATATCAATTAAAAAATTTTGTACAAATTCAGTGAACTCCAAACTTTATATAGCAGTGTCTAGCCAGCTCGGCTTCCATTTTGTAATCTTAGTTCTGTGTGAGCACAGAGACAACTGTTAACAAAAATTCTTAGCTTGCATAGTTTATATTCATGAGGAAATTAAGAGCAGGTTAAACTTGGGCAATGTTTGCTAACATTCAGTTAAGAACTTTTTCTCCTCTCGTCTGCCAAATACAATCATAAAGATGAAGTGAAGGAGGATGAGATGGGCTGTGCGTATAACACCATGTATACATGGTTCTGATGGGGAAGCAAAAGGAAAAAGGCTATTAGGATTACCTAGAAGTAAGTGGGAGAGTATTATTAAAATCAATCTCAGAGGAATAGGATGCAGTGCTATGGACAAGATTAATCTGGCTCGGGATAGTGACCAATGACGGGCTCTTGTGAACACAGCAATGAATCTTCGGGTTCCATAAGATGTTAGGAAGTTCTTCAGTAACGTATGAACTGGTGGATTCTTAACAAGGACTGAACTCCATGGAATCAGTTAGTTATATTGCACTGGGCCGTGCTATAGCTCAAGCGGTAAGTCGCTGGCTTCCCATCGCGGCGGCCTGGGTTCGAACCCGGGTGTGGCCAAATGGGATTTGTGGTGGACGAAGTGGCGCTGGGGCAGGTTTTCTCCGAGTACTTCGGTTTCCTCTGCCAATCTTCATTCCACCAAATTCTCTATCATCATAATCACCAGGGGCAGGTACAATAGGCTAATCAGTGTCCGACGTGCCGAGTGGACCCAGTTGGACTCCACCCCCCGCTATGCTAATTAAAAAAAATTATATTGCATACTTTACAGGTAACATAATTTTGGCGAAGAGAAGGGTAGGTACTCTCGCTGGCTGCACAGAATTAACGAAGGACATGCGTCTCAATTGCCGAGAGTATGCAACCGTATTCCAGAAATTTGTCTGGTAAAATCAGAAGTCCATATGAATCATGTGATCCATAGTCGGTTTTCAGAAGCTGTAGAATGAACCAACGTGACTCCAAGGAGTACAGTCCCTAGAGAAGCTCTCGTCGTTTCTCTTGTCCAGAATTTCCCCGCCTTTTACGGAACTTCAGACTCATTACCGACAAAGTCTCTTAATATCACAATATTCAGAGTCAACTGAATCGAATTCACATGCTCACACCAAATTTCTTCAAGTTCCGTCTAATATTTTCCTCCCGTACACTTCTAGTTCCCGAGCAGGAAGCTGTGCTTTTAAATTGTCCAGGTTTTCTATACATAATCAAATGAGATGGAAATATGACAATTAGTAGTTAGTGGAGAATGATTGAAGGAATATTGTCGTGGACTATTTTAACGTGTTACTCCAACATTCGCGCGGACAGACTAAGGATAAGCCACGAAACTGTTCAGTCCAGTTAGGCAATAATGCTACAGACATTTGAAAAAGAACCTTCCGAACTCAGGTCTAGGTCATTATTGCTACGTCGGCATTTCTTCTTCAGTTTGCACTGATTAAGCTGTCTGCCTTCTCCGGCTGAAAATGAATTAAAGAGAGTCTGAATTATCAACAACGCATTGACCTCTTTGGAGTGAGGCGTAGTTCGAATTAGGAGCAGAAAGATGTAGCACAATCTGGGCGTTCTCACAAGTTAATGAAGGACATTAGTAAATTAATTTATAAACGAATTTATAATTCAGGGACTTCACTGAACTAAATTACACGTTCCTCGAAATAATCTTATTTATATATTTTGTCTTTCCATTTCTGAAAGGATATATATAATTATATTCATGTAACCAGAGGAATGGAAGTCAGAATGCACGGGAAGCGTGCAGCTTTACGGAAGTCAGAACGCGAAGGAAAGCGTGCAGCGCTACTGAAGTGAGAATGCAACGGGAAGCGTGCAGCTTTACGGAAGTCAGAACGCGAAGGAAAGCGTGCAGCGCTACTGAAGTGAGAATGCAACGGGAAGCGTGCAGCTTTATGAAAGTCAGAACCCGAAGGAAATTGTGCAGCGCTACTGAAGCCAGAACCCGAAGGAAAGTGTGCAGCGCTACTGAAGTGAGAATGCAACGGGAAGCGTGCAGCGCTACGGAAGTCAGAACCCGAAGGAAAGTGTGCAGCGCTACTGAAGTGAGAATGCAACGGGAAGTGTGCAGCGCTACGGAAGTCAGAACCCGAAGGAAAGTGTGCAGAGCT